GACGGGAGGGTGAATGAGGCTGGGGGAATCAAGGCGTGGAGAGCCCAGTCGACTTACCCCGGAGAGAGGCCCACAGGTCAGAGAGAGGCCTGTGGGTCGTGCAGGCCCAGGGAAGCAGTGGATTTTATGTTTTAACAGGCTCTCCTGGAAGGGTGACCAGCTTTGTCTTGATTTACACCAAACTGATGGGTTTCCTGGGACATAGGAGTTTTAGGATGAAAACTATTAACAAGCTGGTCACTCTACCTTCAGTGGACTCTGAGCTAACTAGGGGCTATTGAAGAAAATATTCCGATGTATTCTAGGATGGGAATTGTGCTTCTTGCCTCTGTCTTTAAAAATATCTTTTTTTTTTTGGTCTTTTTGAGACAGGGTTTCCCTGTAGCCCCAGCTGGCCTGGATTCACTATGGAGACCAGGTTGGCCTTGAACTCACAGAGATCTGCCTGTCTCTGCCTCCCAAGTGCTGGGATTAAAGGCAAGCACTACCACGCCCGGCTTAGAATATCTTTTTCTACAAGAGGCTATTTGGTCCCTCATACCACCAGACTTTATTGAGTAACTCTATGAGGCTTTACAAGCTAGCTCATTTTGGCTAAATAATAAACTTCAACTGAGCCTTTTCTCCAACCACATTCTTTTCTGCAAGAGAGCTGAGATGCTTTTGGCAGCCTTGTCTGTTTTCAAGGTAGATATTGGGAACCAACATTTATGAAGCCTAGTCCTACTCCATACCTTGGAGTCATGCTTATGTTAAGTTATTCTAGTTCATTCATTAGAACAGATAGCTTAAGGATAAAGTGTCAGAATTTTCAGGAGGAAAGTTCTTAGGGCCATTTACCTTTTACTCAAAATATGTGCCACCTGGTGCTTCTTAGCTATGTAAAAAGAGAACCCCACTGAAACAGGGCCTGGAATTTGACAAGATCAAGATTAAGGAGATTTGAATGCACTTTAAAATTAAGAAGCCCATACCCGTACACCCTCAATGTGTGCATTCATACACAATTTAATTTTCTCTCTTTTTAGACATAAAATTTTTATTATTTTAACTATTTCAAAGTGTGAAACCAAGAGGCATTAAGCATGTTTATATTGTTGTACAATTATCACCATCATGTCTTAAATGTTTTCATTATTTCAAATTGAAATTCTGTTTCCAAGATTTGAATTTTTAAAAAATATTTTATTTACTCTTTTTATATTATGTGTATGAGTGTTATGCCTGTATGTAGGTAAGTGCACCTGTGTCGTGCAGTGCCCTCGGAGGACCGAAGAGGCTGTCAGATCTCCTGGAACTAGAGTTATAGACAGTTGTTAGCTGCCATGGGGTGCTGGGATTCAAACCTGGGTCTTCTGCAAGAACAATCAGTGTTCTTAACCGCTGAGCCATCTTTCCAGCCCCCCAAGATTTGAATTAAAAAATAAATAAGGTTGCATTATATCTACAGATTAAATAGATTTACCTCATTTTATGGTCAATCACAACTGGAGTTTGGGACTTGGCCCAGTATATTGGTCTGTTTTCATTTGCTATTGTAGAATATCCAAGGCTAATACTTAATAAAGAAAAGAGATTTGCTTAGCTCCTAGTTTTGGAGGCTGAAATTCTAAGATTGTGTGGCCCCCTTCATTTGGTCTCTAGTGAGGGCCTGATGGTGGATGGTATCATCATGTGAGCGAGAGGGAAGGATTACATGGTGAGACCAAAGCCATGATGGAGTTGGGCCTATTTTGCCCTTTGTAAGACCTGTCCCCCACCTCTTGTGGTAACGTGGTAACTAA